GAGGGCGGGTGGGGGTGGGGTGGGCCGGAGTGTGGGGAGCGCGGATGTTTCGGGCGGATGCCGCGCGACGCGGTTGAATTAGCAGCCCCCCAATTAAAAGCGCGCTATAAATTCGACGCAGCGATGCCAATGGAAGCCAGAACTGGATTTGGGGTTGCGACGCACCATGGAGTTCTCTTTTATTGTATTAATGAAAGCGTAAGCGTGCTGAAAAAATTGTTTCGAGTAATAATCAATAAATTTTAACAAAAACCGTTAAAAAAAAGAAGGAAAAAAGTTCAAACAGAAGCTTACATACGTCGTATTTGGTAGAAAAGTAGGCTTGATGGTTCATTTCGCATATTTGCAGCATGTAAATTAACCTTAAGACAAAATGACGTCCTTGATACTTTAAAACCCATCAGTCCATTAGTAGTACCTCGGTTCCCCACTAAGCGCAATCGTGGTGATAAGCGTACTCCGTGTTACACGACCAGTAATATGACAGCAGCGTTATCAAGGGGCAGTAAGAACACTGCACAATAACAACAATATCAAAAACAAGGGCATTGTAGCGATAGCCCCCCCCCATAAGAGAAAACTAAGGGTATTTCAATGAAAGTGCTGAATTCATAGTTCGACCTTCGGTGTTAACGGTATTGTTCGAATGAGCAACGCAGTATTGAATAAAAACATATTTATAACGTACTGATAAAGTCTTACCTCATAATGGCACTCTGAAATTGACGTCTTGGGCGAGGATCTATTTTACTCTTAGGTGGTGCTCCTGGAACGCACCAGAATATGTAGGATGTGAGGAACGTTGGAGAGTCCTTCCTTTGGCATGTATCGTAGAAGAAAGTTTACAGAGATCGTTAATTCAGATCATCAAATGGATTTTGTGAGTTGTTTGTTCGACTCAGACATTTTTTGTTGAAGTTTTCCTGTTAGAGAGTTTTAAACTATTAAATTTGCATTCTTACTCTGAGATTAAATCATTGGCACAAGCTAATTTAGAGTTCAAATGATGCACACATTCTCTCAAGGTTCTTAATATTTCAAGAGAACTGAAATTACTTATCTGTGATGAATTATTGCATAACTTCAAAAAACGTATTGATTTTGCTGCTATTGGAAATGCGTCCATGAATCGAAGAGCCTGATGTTCCAGGACTTTGATTATCCTAAAATGTCGTTTAACGCATTGAATTATCTAAAAGATACAATTGATATAGAAGTCACTATCTAAATCTTCTTCTATTTTACCTATATTCAGATGAACAAAAATTGTAAACAATTTCTATCTGTATTACAGAAAATTCATGTTGGCTGAAATTTATTACTTTCTTTAACATTCATTTAAAAAAACTGTTATTCAGGAACACAAACATCCCAGTGAATATTAACGATCGAATGCACTCCCTATCGTCATTAATCACATCATTCCAAGCAGAGTTTAGTGGGTCAACATAGACGTTCGTACATTGGTCACGATCTAAGCGCTTCTTTAAACCCTCAATGGATTGTTTTCGAACGACACGCTAATTTGCATTTACGAACGGCCCTTCATTATTCCCAGCCTCGCGTACGATAAGCTGCATTGCGTGCAGTTGAATTATTTATCCCCATCACAGAAGACTTTCCGGTAGCAGTTTCGTCATTAAGCGTAGTGCAGAGAACTCAATTACAATCAAATATCACGTAATGAGAATTCAAGCTTTTTCCGAATTACTCAATATCTTTGACTTCTTCTGCGTTGCTTTATCTTTGATTTTTTTCTTAGTCATTACTCTTTCGAAATGTATACACAGATTTATGTTAATTTTTAATTTCTCGCCTACTACTTACGCAGTATGGAGAAAGTATTGTAAATCAGTGCAAAAACGACGAATTTTCCACAGAAAAACTCATATAGCTGGGACTTGGTACGAAAATCTGGATAAATCTTCTTCCCATATGTAGTAAAGTACTCCCTTTAACACGTTGTGTAATCAGAATTCACATTTGATGGGTTCTTGATACCGAAAAATCGATTGACGACAAAACATCTGTTCGTCCGTCAGTCTGTCTGTCAACAACGCTAGCGGCTAAACCGTAAGCAGAATTTTCATTAAAATTTGATTGATATTCTCCAATCTCACTGACGTCGCGACCTATGGAATTTGAAATGGCTATTTTGAGTTTTGGGGGTAATTTACTTGAAGCCTCAACGTTTACAATTTTTTTTCAAAAATGGCTCCAAATATTTTCATTTATTTTTTCTCGAATAGAGAAAAAACGGTATAAAAAAATGGATTAAGTGGCATTTTTGTTAAACACCCTAAATTTTGAAAAATTGCCAAAGTTCAAATTTTTTCTGCCTCACACACCTATAATATTCAAGTTGAACATGATTGTTGAACATTTAATGAGATCTATTAATTAAAAATAGATCTTGAAATAAAGCCATCTTCGAAGTTTCGAAAACAAGAGTAGTTTTTATATAATTTTGCTTTAAACTTTAGCAATTTTGAAACAATTTAAGTAATTATTTTCTCCAAACCGGCTACAAATTTTTCTTTATTTTTTTCCTCGTGTGCTGCAAAGAATGGTAAAGAAAGTGGTATTGGTCTCATTTTCGGCGACATCTTTGCATTTTCAAAAACCGTAAATGATAATTTAAATTGTAAATTCAAATTTTCCGTGCTTCAGTAGAAGCGTTGTCACAGCTGCCTTGGCACTACATCTATTTACAATTCTTGGAATTCGACAGATTGTTGGCGGTCGTCATGATCGTATGATGTATATAATATTCTGATAAAAGGAAACAGATTTAAGGAAGGCAGTAGATGTGATCCAGAACTAACAAATACACATATTTCACTTTAAAAAGTTTTGATAGCGTAATATGATATTCAAAAATTGATAGCTCACTTCAATCAAATCAAGGCAAGCTTGTGTGAAATTATTCTTGCTTTTCTGTATTACGCGCTGCAAATACTGCAACAGTAAAATTTATTCGTGTTTGTTTTATTTATAGAAGTAAGAAATTATTTATTTTCCTGATTACAGAAATAAATGCAGATATCCGCCACAGACGCTTCGTTCGAATTGGTTGAAGCTGTGGTGTTAGCATGGCAGAAATTTCAATACTACAAATATTACGTAACTGTTTAAATAATGCGAGAAAATATGTGCTGTAGTAGCTCTAAAATTTATTAATTTACATCTTTTTAGGCCATCCTCGGCGCGATGGTGTAACGGTTAGCGTACCGAACTGTTGTACCCAAGTTGGCGGGTTCAAACCCGATCAAAGCCGTGGATTTTTAAGGGCGAAAAAATCCTTCGTACGCCTTCCTTCGGAGGGGAAGTAAAGCCGGCTGTCCCATGTTCGTAGATTTACTTGCATGTAAAAGATCCTCAAGCCTAAATGACGCCTCTGAGCTAAATTCAAATCGCCTGTTTCTCGCCCAAGAAATACCTCCTTTCTCTCCTAGTTGGTGAAAGGAGCGTAGCGAAATTTGCGTGGTCAGACGGAAGAGCGGGCCTGATGGCTCGAGTCTCGCCACGTAAAATAAGGCAAATTCAATTCAATTCAATTCAATCCTCCGCCTGCGTTCCCCAATTGTATGTTTTTATTTCGGTATACGAACACACATCGATTATAGGATTTTATTTTCTTCTTTTAATGACATTCTTCTGTCCTGTTTTCTTTCTTTCCAAACAACCGTCATCATTATCTTTACCACGGCGTTATCATAGTATTCTTCTTAACATATTATAAATTCATATTTCCTCATTTTAATTACCTCTCATGTAATTCCCATTTATTTTCTTCCTGACCCATTCTTCGTCTCATTTTTTCATAACAATGGGCGGAACCAAGGGAAGGGAGGTTTGGGATATTTCGCCTATCCCGAAGTGCAGTTTCCTAGAATTTAGTAATTGATTTTAAATAATGAAATGCATGTTTGGTTCATAGCATTTAGTTTTCATTAAGAATGTGACAATATAAGTAGAATTGAACTGTACGTATTTAAATGGAATTGTCTTCAGCAATACAAATTTCAAATTAGACTTTATCTAAAATATACCTTTCATCTAAAAATAATCCTTTGGGATCGATGTGTTTCATAACATTGTAATGAACTTCCATTGCTCATCTCGTTGCTTGCCAACGTTTTCTTCTTCTTCTTCCTCCGTTCACCGGCTTACCTCTCTGCAGTACCTCTCACCGGAAGGTCCTAGGACTGAAGATCCGATGGTGGCAGAATTTCCCACACTAACTACATAGCTCGGTCGAATTCAGCCGCTGTCTGGAGGGGAATTCTAACGGCCGGCTGCTCTGATCGGCAGTTATCCGTTTTCTCCGGTCAACACTAGGCGAATGCCGGGGCAGTGCCCTAACAAAGGGACCGCGCAAGATCTTTCCTTCGTTTTCCTTGTCTTAACCTCACCCCTTTTACACACACACACACACACACGCACACACACACACACACACTAACATGCATTACACATGTCGGGAGACCGATCGGGAACTTAGAGCTTGACCAGGCTGGAGCTGTGCCTCGCTGGTGGGACATACCTACCGAGGGAAAAATCCTCGCAAGCCGACGTAGGTCGGCGCCGGATCTCGCTATCCAGCGGGAGAAGATTACTGCCACCTCCCGCGATAGTCACTAAACTTAAGGGAATAACAACCTCAGCAGTTGATGCGCCCGTAATCACCCGTCAATCAAACATTCAACCAATCATTCTACCAATCATTCAACCATTCAACCAATCATTCAATCAATCATTCAATCGAGCATTCAATCATTCAATCATTCAATCATTCAATCAGTCAATCAGTCAATCAGTCAATTATTCAATCAATCATTCATTCAATCAATCAACCAATCTTTCCCCGTTCCACGTTCCTTGGGGGTGTCCCCTCGCGCCCACTGGCGCTGGGGTGAGGGGGAGGCTAAGTTGCGGGTGTTGTGCGCAGACCCTGAGTACCAGCGGCAGCTGAAGCAGTGCCAGCAGCGGGCCGCCGCGGGACCCATCAACATCCCGCCGCGCGCCTTCGGCTGGGGCTCCACCGCGTCGTCGCCGGTGAGTATGGCGCCGCCCCGCACCCTCCCCGAACCCATCGCATTTCTTTTCGTTCCCTCGGCCAATATCAGAAACGAAATGGAAGGGCTGGCGAGGTAAGCCTCCCGCTGTGTTAAATGTTTAAGTCTCGATTTCGGTCGAAATGAGTCTCATCTAGTGTGTGTCTCCTTTCTCGGGACTAATGACCTTACCTGTTGATGTGCTCGGTAACACTAATCAATTAATCAATTAAAGTTCACCAACGTTTGTACGAGTATATTGACTTGCAGGAGGCAGGAGCGGAAGGCTTCATTTCTTCATTCGTCCGAAATTCAATGGAGTCACTCTTTACTTCCATTTCCAATCCGAACCGAAGTGTTAGCAGTCTTTTCGTCCGATTGTACTCGAAATAAAGATTTGATACTCTTTCCGTCCGTTTCAGTCCGAAATGAAATAATGATAGTTTTCTCCGTTTGTACCCTGAAATGAAATATTAGTTATCTTCCTTTCCCTTGAATCTGATACGAATTGCGCTGCTATTTCTTTCCATTTCCAACCGAAATGAAATTTGTTACCGTTTTCTGCTCCGCTCCGAAATGAAATAGTAATCGTTTGTTCATTTCAACCCGAAACGAAATGTTCCCCTAAAACATTTTGAATTAACATCAAAAGCGCAATTTAATGGAAATAAATTTCTAAACCGTAAAAAAATATATTTTTGTGAAAGAATGTAAGAAAATAAACTCGGAATTTGTGCCGCGATTTTAATAACCACGATTCCTTGAAATGGCATTCGTAGTCCTTAAATATTTGATTGTGAAACTCTCGTTTGTATGATCGGTCCGATAAATTAGAAGTGATAGTATTTAAATCTTTTCCGAGCTGGTTCACAGCGTGCGAGACATTTGCAACGTGAACTATGAGGATCTATTCAAGGCCGGCAAATGCGCACAGATATCATTCTTAAGGAACAACTTTCTTAATAATGTTTCTGCAAAAAAAATCTAGTTATTAGATTCAATTTCAAAATACGAATATGATAAAATAAATGAGTCAAAAAATTACTGTGAATCGTGTAAATGTAATATATTAAATCTGCAAAAATATGTGATTTTGTATAGGATTATTCTTGGGATCCTGAGATGGCAAAATATTTCGTGGAATTCAAATTATTCTATTTGATCATTACTTTGCCGAAATACTAAAATTGCTGAATAGACGCAGCCAAGCATATTTCGAATGTCAACAAATCTCGCACCTGTTTCTTTGTTGTCGTCGTCGTCGGTTACGACTCCAAGACATTTCCCCCCCGCGTCACCGGCCAGCCGCCGTAGGCCGGCCGTCGGCGGGGCCGAGGCGACGCGCGATGTCACGGATGGGCGGGGGCGAGGGGGGCAGGGCGTGAGCGTCGCCGGCGCCGCCATCTTGCGCGTGGGCGATCGCAGTGCCCGAGCGGGAGAGGCCACTCGCGGGCGGGGGCGCGGGGTCAGGCCGGCGACCGCCTGCGGCGCGGGGTCGATGAGTGGGCCCGCAGCCCCGCCCCCTCCTCCCCTGGCGAGGGTGGTTGCCGCCGCCGCCGCCGCCGCCGCCGCCGCTGCTGCGTTGCCCCCGGGGACGGCGGGGGCGGCGGCGGCGCAGGCCGGCCGGCAGGCGTCGCTGCCGTCGATGACGCGCCGCCCGGGGGAGGAGGAGGAGCAGCAGGCGGCTTTGTGATTCGTTCACGGAACGGGTTGCTGCAGGAGTTGGGATATTCTCGGTGGAGGGAAATTAATTCACAAGTTATGAGAACTGACCTGCCCCACGGTATTGATTCAAAACATCCTTCCCTGGAGCCTTCTGATAGGAAATAATTTCTGGGACTTGAGGGCGGTCGTGTTTGGCTTGGGAAAAAAAAATTTGACTTTAATTAAAAAGTGGTTTGTCTTACGCATCAAATATGGCGTATATTAAAATGTCTAATATGCATTATTTCAATGTATTACAAATGTTTAATTGAAATGAATGAATTAACCTTTTTTAACGATAGTTAAAGATACGATGAGGTGAATTAAATGACTAATTTGTAAATAAGCAATGTATCTGTTATCTTCTCAGAGTTTTCCAAGATAATTCATAACAATGGAAAAACGTTTTTATTACCATGCCTCCTTTCCTATTCTTCATTTTTACGTAAACGAATGACTTGTTTTGTGCTTTAGACGTACAGCGTTGCTTGCTATTTCTGAAAGCACTCTCCTCTATCCACAGACGTCGCCGCAGAAGCACCTGAAGCTGAGCCCTCGATCGGCCGCGGCGGCCGCCGGCATGGCGCACCACCCGCACCACCCGCACCACCCACACCACCCGCACCATCCACACCACTTCCCGTCGCTGTCGCTGTCGGCGCCCAACAAGCTGCCGGGCAGCCCGACGCGCAAGCTGCGCGGCGACACCAAGAAGTGCCGCAAGGTGTACGGCATGGAGCACCGCGAGCTGTGGTGCACGCAGTGCAAGTGGAAGAAGGCGTGTACCCGCTTCGGCGACTAAGCGCCGACCGCCGTCGCCACCGCTGACGTCGTCGTCGTCGCCGCCGCCGCCGCCGCCGCGTCGCGACGCGTCGCGCCGCCACCGACGACGTCCCCGACGAAGCCACGCGCGTCGCCTCGCGTCGCGTCGCGCCGCCGCTCGAGGCAGGAGAGTTCCGAAGGAAGCGAGCGAGGAAAGAAGGAAGGATGGGAAGCAAAAGGAGGAGGGCGGACGAGGGGCGAGGGACGATGGCGACGGGGCGGGCGCGGGCGCCGGAGCCCGCCCCGCCCCCGCCCCGCGGCCCCCGATGGTGCTAGCCCTCCGGCCGGGGGCGGGCCCCCCGCCCCCCGCGCTGTCGTTTAGTATTATCAGGATTGGTTCTTGCATATGGCGTAATAATAATGATGATGATGATTAATAATAATAATAGTATTGTATAGTAAAACTTTTAAGTATTTATTGAAAGATTATTGTGATATCTCTCTGTTTGTTTTTAAAAACCACCTTTTTCTTGAAGATCTGCGTTGTTGTCTGCTAGATAGATGTCGGGGGGCACCGCGTGTGCCCCGCTTCCTTGTCAAATTGTATTGGCTGCACTCTCAATAAACGTGACCCAGCATCATGCAATGACCGTGTTGATTACCACACAACTCCTCTTGTTTCTCTTACTCAGATCATTCCTAGGAGCTCTCCTGTCGGCGTGCTCAGCACCGGGACCCTGAAGGCCTGCTTGTCAGGCCCACCAGGCCGCAACGGGCCTCTTGCAGGCCGGCCCGGCCCCCATCGCGCAGTCGGGCCGGCCTGGCTCGGCCGGCCTCTCTCCAGCAGGGTCTCGGACCCTGCTGTCGGTAATTCCTCTCGCTGTGTACTTGTGCTTAAAACAAGATCCGGGATGGGGCTCCGTAGAGGGGCCTGTGAACTATCCTGAGATTCTTTTCTCTATAAAAGCAATACTGCTGCACTTATGTTCAGCAACAGAAAAATAATTTCTTTTAGCGAAGCGAAGGTAGAGAAGTGGGTTGAACGGGTTTCCATGGCCGACGGCTGTAGAGGCCGTCGTTCACTGGTAAATGCGATCATGCAGGTGGAATAGCTGACCAGTTTGTGACTACCTAAACCAGCAAAGAAAGAGACAAGATGACTGTCAGCCCTTATTAGGACTCGGCAAGTCAAATTAGAGACAGGAAAAATAAAAGTCAAGAAACCAAGAATTGGAGTGCATAGACGTGAATTTGTTCTTATATTGTTTATTTCAAAGAGAAAATAGCTTATTTACCTGTTAATATTTCATATTTCTATTATAATATATTTACATATATACATACCAAGTAAAGTTAATAGATTAAGTTGCTTTTTCAACTTTGTTCATTGTAAACTAAGTAAATTATTAAGAAGATCATAAACTATGATTCCACCCAGCTGAGAATTATAAATTTTTCAAACATGCCAATGTACTCATAACTGTTGGTTCATATGGAGAGTCAGCATGATTTCTGAGTGAAAAAATATTAGTGGGTTGATTAAGGGAATTTGACATATTAGGTTCATTGTATGGGGTTATGTTTAAGCAGATAAAATCTGAAATGTTGGCTCCTAAAAGATGGTTGATCTTCTTGCATCTAAAACTGCTCTCTGAAAAGAAAAATCATTTAATTAGGAGAAAGAGAGATACAAATGAATTACCAGCTTTTTGCACAAGATCTCAATTCAAATGTATTTAAATTAAACTTAATTTATGGGATACAATCTTACAAAGTGATAAACGCATAGATATGGAATTAAATAAATTGTTAATTTATTAAAGTCAAATGTGATGTATTTTTAATTTCTAATTTTATAAGCAGTTATGTCATGTGAAGAGAATATTTTGTAACAAAACTGATGCAAAAAAATATGAATCAACAAAGGGGTCCAATGAGTGATGAAGTATCTTTTATAAAATTGACAAGATGGTTATTCTTTCTTCTGTACAAATCACCTCATTAAGCAGTTGAATATGGAAAAACCAAAATAGCTTTAATTAATTAATTACCACTTATTTTTAAATACAGAAATATCATAGTTATGAATTTTATTCTTCTATATATACAATATAAAAGTATATACAAGAGTAAGATTTAGTGTGACAGTGTATGTATGAATGTGTGAATGACTGAAAGATCTTAGAGGACAAGTTAGAGGTGGTGCACTAGCACATTAGCAGCAGGAAGTAGCAAGGAAACTGAACGGATCTCATTTTATCCAAATGTCGTCAGACAACGTACAGTACAACCACAGCTCAAGTGACTGAAAGGCTTAGATTCTGCGTTGATAGACCTCAGCTGGTTGTCAAACATGCCAATTACTTTGCAGCTGTGGTTCCATTGGCTTATGTTGCCCACAGAAGT